AAAAATGTTCTCTCTTCTTCTGACACTGTGAATTGTAAGGACAATGAAAGCCTTGCTCCGAAAGGCTATCACTGCTACCACTTGAAAAAAGCCTGCCAGACATTTAAACGAGCAGAACAAAAACGGTAGATCTAATAAATGGAGAATGGAAAGTAGGAAGACCATGGGGAAAGCAGAGAGAGCCCAAGCCCTAAAGCTATTTGAACAACCTGCATCTAGCCTGGCCTGAAGCCACTGGACCTCCCCACCTTTGTGAACCAATCAATGCATTTTTCTGTGCACATATCTGTCACTTAAAAGCAAATGATTGCTAGCTAAACATCCTAAATAATAAAAGCCTAATATGCTAAGTGTCTGGTTGTCCGGTCGGCCATTCAAGCAATCAAAGTGTAATATGCTAACAATATGCTAAGACCGCTCAACCACTTGCTATGACGTGCACTGACCACCAGGGGGCAGACACTCCTACTGGTAGGTTAGCTTGCTGCTGGAGTCCGGCCAATGACAACTGAGACGGGCCAGACACGCCCTGGAGCCCTCCCGTGGTCCCTCCCTGGCTGGTCAACCTCCTGCATCCCTCCCCGGCCCCAATAGTGTACAGGTGGTGTCCCTTGGCCTGGCCTGCTCCCTCTTGCAATCCAGGCTGAGGGACCTCCCCCGCCTCCCCCGAGTGAGTGTGCGAATTTCGTGCACTGGGCCTCTAGTTTTTTATAAGGTAAAGGTAGGCAAAGCAAATGTAACTATTCCTATTTTACAAAGAAGATAAATGCTCAATGAGCAATATAGGACATTTTGTCCCTGTGGATATTCTGAAAACAAACATTGTAAGCAGAATAATATTAACATTTATAAATTGCCATCAAGTAATTAGCTTTCAGAAAAAAATTAAGCCAAAAGATTCCATTGCCAATTTTTATACAGTACATTTTATTAAAGCATTATTTTAGAGTGAATAATTTTTTGTCCATATAGAATTTTACCAAGTATTTCATCTAAAACTCTGTTTTCCTTTGTGGCCATCAACATGGGTTGAATACCAAAACGATTTTATTCTTTCAATGTTTAATCAATAACAAATTTTTCAGTATATAGCACTGTCAGAATTTTATTGAATATTGTTTGTGCCTAATAATTCTTAAATTATTTTTATGATAGTTTTTATTTCATTTTTAGCTAACCCATGAGAAATCTGTATATTTTCCTCAGATATTTTAAAGTTGTTATAGTGTTAAGATCTTTACCAGTCTCAAAAACTCTTTTCTCAGTTATATATCTCAGATACATCTGTGGAAGCCCATCTAAAATGTGCTTTTAATGCTCTCAATCCACTCAAAATTATAAATTACAGAATATACATACTTTAGGATATTCAAAACTATCAAATGAGCTCACAATTCAGTGACTTGCAGCTCTGACAAACAAGTTGCTTTGGATCAGGGTTTCTCAACAGCAGCACTACTGACATACGGGGCAGGATAACTGTGAGCGCTGTCCTGTGCATTATAAAATGTTTAGCGGCATCCCTGGCCTTTACCCACTAACACCCTCTTTATCCTGGGTATGACAACTAGAAATGTCTTCAGATATTGCAGAATGTTCCCAGGGGTAGGGGAATCACCCGTGGTTGACTGTCACCTTTTTTTAAATACAAAACTTAGACTGAGAGAAAACCAAACATATCAGCAATTTTCAGATTAGTCTGCATGTTTCTAATATAGGTCTTCCCAACGATTTACTAAGTTATAATTGTTCTAGAATTGTATTGCTAAATTCTTTAATACGCAATAGGATCACAATGTTCTCAGGGTCAAACTAGCCTGCTGCAGGTTCAAAGTAGTTAATAATTTCCCAAAGTTAACCTAGTGCTAAGACCTGAGCCATAATATAGTTTTTCCTTTAATACCATATTTCTCAGTTGAAGCCCCAGTTCTGTATTTTCCAACCCCAAAATCATCAGTTCTATTTTACCCCAAGAATATAATCTTAAAAATCACAAAAATGCTTATAGTCAGATATTTATTGCACTTTTTATATATTTAAAAATAGACAACCTGAATATCCAAGAATGGAAAATTGGTATAAAAAATCATGTATAATAATATTTATCACTGTTAATATGTTTGTAATAGGCTAAGTGAGAATTATAAAACACACATGATCCCCAATTTAAAAAAAGAAATATGTATTTGTATAAAAAAATAAATATTATAAAATCTGATAGGATTAACACCAAAAAGTTGACAGTTATGAGTTTGTATAGGAGCATTATGTTTTAGGGTATTTGTCTGTATTTTTTGGTCTTCTACAATGAACATAGATTTCTTTTTTAAAAAGTAAATATTTTTATTAAAAAATTACTTCATACACAAAAATCATAAAGATAAAACAGTGAATTCCTATAATAGTAATGGTGTTAAAGGACAGCACTATATATGTCACGATGGATTTATAAAGTCACGTTTCCAAGTTTATCATTTGATTTTGATCTATAGTACATCTGAACGTATTCAGCATCAGAGTCCTACTGAAACAACTTGCTAGGCTCCATCTGTGAAAACACTACAATAATTTGTATTGAAAACTCTTTGTAGTAGCTAACCTCCTTCTTAACCTCTTTGTTCCTAAAACCAAAATACAATACTACTATGAAGTAAAGAAATACAAAGAATTTAAAAATTATGGATACTAAGACTATCTGATAGGCAGGTATAAAAAACTTTGGGCTTGGGGATTTTTTTTTTTCCTTAACATAAATGACACCCTCTTCCTTCTGCTCACCAGGCTTTGTAAAGCTCCTATCTTGAAAGCCAACAAGGCAAGTCCAGCCTCTCCAGCTCCTTCTCTGTATGAACTTTAACATAGTAAGTCACTGAATGCTTATGAGATACAAAGTGTTGATAAGTAAGACAGGCATACAGTACAGACAAAATAAGAACAGCATATAACTTGCATTTATTGTTTTATGTACCTTGTTGCTCTTTTTCCAAACTACATATTAGAAAGCAGAGTCAATTCTATGCAGAGAGGAGGTAAGAATTACTGTTCACATTGTGAGTGCTCCTGAGAGCATTTTCCAACCTGAATTGCAGTGCATTAAGGCACACTGCTTTGTGTGGTGTTACATTTTCCTATGTATGACTTCTGATTTAAAAATGGGACACTCCAACCCTGATGGCCATCATCATGGCCCAAGGTAGCCAAGAGTTTGCCTCCTGTTTACCTGGGTCAGAGCTGTCCTTACTTGAGTCCAGATTTCTAGTGAGTTCCCAGCTGCATTTATCCATAGTCCTCATATCTAGTCCTCATGGATATTCCAGAGTCAAAGACTGAATTTAAGTTAATATGTTGTCTGTAATGTGTCCATGTCTCTCACATTTGAAGCAAAGCTTATACATTGATTTGCAGACATAACACAAATTTTGAGGACATTTACAAGTAATCACCAATACCTATATAAATACAGACTGTAAAAATTCACACCCACATGGATTTCTAACGTTTTTATAACCAACATGAATTATTCTATACAAAGAACATTTTTTTCTTTTTTAGAAAGTTCACATGAATTAACTCGGTTCTGTCTGCATACCCAGATACTTCTGATAGTTCTCAACCTACAAGGAACTGGTTCAGTTTTTCTAAAGCCCAGGAAACAGAATAACTCTCAAACAAGAACTCTCAAACAGAATAGCTCTCAAGCTTAAAATACGTATACTAAGAATAATAAAGAAGCTTACTTTATTGAATATTAATATGTGCCAAGGATTCTATTAACTAATTAAATCCTCACAACAAACCTATCAGATATACTCTCCTTATCCTCATTTTATAATTAAGAAAACTGGATCACAAAATTATGTAACCTACCTCAAATCTCCATATCTAAACAGTGCAGAAATGGACTGCAACCCACACTAACTCCAAACCCAAGTTGCAGATTATGCTACACTCCTACCCTTGACCTTTGCCTTCTAAGACAAAGGAGCAACAAACAAACAAAAACTCAAGGGATAAAAAAAAAAAAAAAAGGAATAAACAAATACTCCAGAAGTCATAATAATTGATAAGGGGCGAAAAAAAATTTTCGTTCAGTGAATGAATGAATGAATGAAATTATGGGACTTAACCGCCCTCATTTCCTGGCAAGAATTATTTGGAGCTCGGAAAACTAGGAAAGCAAGAGGAACAATAAAACCTACAATTTCATAGTGGAAACCTCCATTATTCTGAACCACAATAACTGACAAAACCTTGCCTAGAATCACTTTCCAATCAAGAGCAGTAACAATATACATACTTGCCTTCCTTTAACCAGAACAAATGCTCTAACTTCAACACGCGAGAGATCCCTAAAACAAGTTCAGATGGACCCCCACACACACAAAAAAAAAAAAATGCTGAGCTTAGAAATCAGAGCGTGCGAGTCCAGTGCAGTCCCCAGTTAGCTGTGTGATCTCCGGCAACCCACTGTTCCCTGTCTCAGTGACCTCAATTGCCGCGTGGGGGCGGGGGGGGGGGTGGTGGTAACTAGAGTTGTAATGTTCAGCTCTAAGAGAAGGTGAACCTGTGAGAAAGGAAACTCCTGCAAAACTAGGGAAGGCTCATGGATACATTTAAAACACCGCGAACGACGGTCTTTAGCGACAATGTCCCACCAGCCCTGGCTGGAACATGGGACAAATCGGCTTCCAGGCCCTTGAGATCGGAGAGCAAGGTCAAGTTTGGCTTTCAACCACCTCGGAGGGCTGCTGCTTTAACCTCTGCGTGAACTGCGATCAAGTCATCAAGCCGGAATCGGGGTGGGGGTGGGGGGAGCGGGGCGAAAGCAGCAGTGCGGGGGAGAAAGCACTGTTCCAAGGCGTCCAAACCCTAGTGCAGACCCTCGGGCTCCTGCACGAGGCCAGGAGCGAGCCGCCTCCCCGCGCACACAGCAGTGAGCGCCGCGCTCCCTCCCGGCCGCGTGCAGGGCGAGGCGGGGGCGCGCGGGGCGCCCGGGTTACCTGTGTCGGCCCCCGCCCCGGCGTGCAGCAGTCTGACCTCCGGACGCCCGTCGCCGCCCGGCCGGCCGCGCACCACCTGCCGCAGGAGCAGCCGCACGCGCCGAGCGGCCGCGCCGCCGGGGCTGCCGGGCGTCCCGAGCAGCAGGAGCCGGGACTGCATGGGGCCGGGGTGTCGCCGGCGAAGGTTTGGGGCTCCGGGCGAACCGCGTCCCGAGCGGCAGCGTGGGCCGGCGCGGCAGTGGGACAGGAAGCTCACCGCGCCGAGTCCGCCGGAAACTCCTTCCCCCGGCGCCCCGGGCTCTCCGGGCTCCGGCCCGGGCCGCGGGGGCGGGGAAGCCGCCAGGCCGCCGGGAGGGACCGCGGAGCCGCGCGGGGAGCCTGGGCCGGGCCGGCCGCCCTGGGCTGCGGGCCCTCGACTCCCGCGCCTCGCCTCGCCGTCACCCGTGCGCCTGGCTTCACCGGCCTCCTTCCCCCTCCCCGCGATGCCCCGCGACCCCGTGGCGCCCGGAGTGCAGGGGATGCGGCGGGTTAGGGCATGTGCCGGTGGGACTCTTCACAGGTTCCTACTAGGTCTTCGTTTGTTGGTTAATAGCCTGGTCTTACCGCGCACTTTCCCCGCGCGCGCTTCAGATCCTTCCCGGATGCCGAGTGTATATGCACAAAGCAAGTTAATCCTCATATATATAATTACAGTGCATCTCCAAAATGTCAGGAGTGAATTGATCAAGGCAAAATGTTCAAATCAAGTTCTACAAAACAAAGGCCGAGCCCTAGCGGGTTGCTCAGTGGATAGAGCGTGGGCCCATAGACTGAAGGGTCCCAGGTTCCATTCCCTTTGAGGACACATTCCTCGGTTGCAGGCTGGATCCCTGCAACCAATCTATGTGTCTCTCACACATTGATGTTTCTCTCTCTCTCTCTCTCTCTCTCTCTCTCTCTCTCTCTCTCTTCCTCTCCCTTCCACTCTCTCTAAGAATCAATGGAAAAAATATCCTCAGGTATTAACAACAGCAAAAAATAATAAAAAGACAGAGGCTTCACTTTTAGCTAAAGGACTGGTTAATTCTAGAGTTGTAATAATAAAGGTAAACATTTTGTAGTGCATTGCAGCATGGTTTTACACATGTTCTCTTATAATCTTCACAACTCTGAGAGTGCTAGGGAAAATGACATAAATGCAAGATGTAACAGTTTATGAAATGCTTAACTACTTTTTGAGTACCTATGTTTGGGATATTTTGCTTCAAGATGCTCTGAAGTGGAGCACTCCACCTGGGAGAGGTCAGTGAGGTTTCACAGAGAAGGTAATGTTTGAAATGATTTTTGACGGAAATGAACGAATGTTTCAGGCTGAGAAAAGGGCAAATTATATCTGGCAGAGGGAAGAGCATATACAAAGATACAGAGAACTGAAAATACATGACAAAACTGAGAATCAGGGAGGATGCACTGTGTCTGGAGTTCAAGTACAGAAAGCAGTTTGTAGAGATAAGCCTGGAAAGAAAAATTGGAACCATGTTGTTTGCAAGGGATAAGAGTTTGCACATTAACCTCCAGGAAATGGGAAAATGGAGATGATTTTTTAGAATGACAAATCTGCAATATGAAGGAGAAATTTGAGCCAGAAATAAAGGTGGCACCAGAACTTTACTTTGAATACTATTTTGGATTTGGATAAACAAAGATTAGGAGTATAGAGCATCAATACAGGCTTAAATGCCTGACACGCATGGTTAGTTTAACAACAGTGAGACTAGCAAGGTAAGAGGGCGTAATCTTTGGAAAGTAGGAGAAGGTATTGTCAGAGATGGAGGAAAAGATTGAAGTGAAGAGTAGAGTGAAGACTCTTGACTGGCTGAAAGAAGTTGAACTTCAACTTATAGGCAAGTTGGCTAACCTCCAGGCATTTTGATCATTTTTAAGGCAGTGACATGAACTATGCATTAATTTTACTGCCACATAGTTCTAGCTATGTGGCAGCAAAAATAGTCTCTTGCTCAAAACAGTGAGATTCTGTTGGTGAATGGGAAGGAATGGACCTTAGCAATGTATGAAAGATGAACTGGAGGTATTTGGTTTTAAGAGATATCTATCATGCCTGGCCAGTGTTGCTCAGTGGTTGAGCATGGACCCTTGAACCAGAAGGTCATGGTTCAATTCCCGTTCAGGGCACACACCTGAGTTTCAGGCTGGATCCCGAGTAGGGGGCATGCAGGAGTCCGCTGATCTATGACTCATCGTTGATGTTTCTATCTCCTCCCTTCCTCTCTCTGAAATCAATAAAAACCTATTTTTTAAAAAAGAGAGAGCTCCATCACAACCTCAACATAACTTCTCTCAAATTCTCACTAGAATAATTATATAATTTTTTAAATCACACTACCAAAAACCGGTATTGACTGTTAAGCTTCTTCTGGAGTCTGAGAGGAATATTGTTTACCTACCACACTAATGTAACTGGATGGAAGTGCAATTAATCCATCAGTGCTATGTCCAATTACAAGAAGGTAGATGCTTCAACCCTCCTTACTGTCCACCCTACTGAGAAATCACAGGTCCATACCAGTGGTTCCCAGACTTCACTGTGCAGCCTGATCATCTGGAGAAGTTAAAATGTAGATTCACAGGTTTTACTCCCACCCCCACCCTGAGATTCTCATTCAAGGGGTCTGAAAGGGCCCAAGAAAAATGCCTTTTAAGGTTTACCTATAGGAGATCAACTATATGCCACACATTTTAGTCACGAAGCTAGAGAACAGTTCTCTCTTTTGTTCTGTTTTCCTGCTAAGGTTGTCCCGTCTCTTCATCCTCTTCAGCACTTTTTGTAAAACAATTTGTAAGCACCCTCTCCTTATTACAAGCAATAAAATAAAATTGATCAGGGAATGGGAGAAAATAGGAAAGAAGAAAAGAGGGCCCCTTTATATCATAAAACATTTTTAGAGGAGACCATGGGCAGAAAAACAGCCCAGAGAAAACTTGGAACTGTAGTTCTTCCTGAATTCCATTTATCCAGAGTATGGAAAAGTCATGTATGTGATAGGATATGAAAATATCCCATCTATTTTATTATGTGGGTTCATCCCAGAGGAACCACAAGAGCTAAAGCCTGCTAGATCTGAAGATCTGTGAAGGGAATTGAAGCACCGAAGTGGATAGAAAAGAGAGTGAAAACCAATTTGTCCAGTCTGTCTGCTGGCAAACAGGTCAGCATAGATCATTTTATATTCAAGAATGGGTAATAAGGGGAAAATGTAAACTATTTTTAAAATACTGTGGAACAAAAAATAGAATAACATGCTGTCAATTCAGACGGTATGTAAAATGCTGGAAAAATTTTTACAATGATTAGGAGGGGGGATGTTGCTTGCTAATTTTAAGAAGGATACAAGAATAGATAGCCTTCATAAAATAAGAATAATCAAGAATCTTACCAGTTGAAGAAGGGAAGATGGGATGAAGAGAGGGACACAGAGAGAGGATATATACGTGCAGACACTCTCCAAAGGCAAAACACCTAATGCTGGATAAAATATTTTTAAATACCATCTTAAATGAATTTTTAACCTTATATAAAAGTAAGGAAAGTTCTCTAAAGCCAAGAATGAAGCTGGAAGAAGAGACTGGGAAGGAAAGGAATAATTGAAAGTGCTGAGGGCCTTGGAGACATCAACTTCTATCTCTGATGCCTACAGCACCAACAGGAAGGAAGGCGGTCAAAGACCCCAGCATATAAGATCTGGAAACAGCCTAAGTGCCCATCAGTAGATGAATGGATTAGAAAATTGTGGTACATCTACACGATGGAATACTATGCTGCTCTAAAAAGGAAGGAACTCTTACCATTTGCAACGTCATGGATGGAACTGGAGAGCATTATGCTAAGTGAAATAAGCCAGTCAATGAAGGAAAAATACCACATGATCTCACTCATTCATGGATAATAGAGACCATTATAAACTTTTGAACAATAATAGATACAGAGGCAGAGCTGCCTCAAACAGATTGTCAAACTGCAGCAGGAAGGCCGGGGAGGGTTGCGGGGCAGGAGGTAGGGGGGTAAGAGATCAACTAAAGGACTTGTATGCATGCATAGAAGCATAACCAGTGGACATAAGACATTGGGAGATAGGGGAGGCTAGGGGACTGTCTAGGGCGGGGGGATAAAATGGACACATATGTAATACCCTTTGTAATACTTTAAGCAATAAAAAAAAAAAGAAAAGAAAAGAAAACAAAATACCTTAAAGAATGTCAACAACTTGATTTAATAATAAATTCTCAATTATTTTAATAAATAATTGCATTGTAACTATTTAAAAAAAAAAAAAAAAAGACCCCAGCATAAAGCCAGGACTGGCAAAGGGCTATGCAGTTAGCTAAATGGTTGACTAGGAAAAAAAAAATTTGCAGAGGTATCAGCAAGAAATAATGTCTGTCTGTTTGATTCTAGGTAGAATTTTTTTCCCTTCTTAGAATTTGTGCCTTCTACTTGAAACTCAGATGGGTTTGAGGCATGAATATACAGTATTTGCTTGTTATTAAAAATATATGTCAATTTTAACTTAAAATGGAATTAGTAAATATATAGGATATTTAAATAGTGCCATTAATAAGCTTTATTTGATGAACACCAAAAAATCAGCAACAATCAGTTGGAGAGTGTACATTATTTGCAAGAACAAATAGAACATTAGAAATGGGTTATATTAAATACATAAAGCAAGTTTCAACAAAAATCAAAGAATAGATAACACAATTTCTGATATTAATATAATTAAATAAGAAATAAATTTATGTCAATTTTTAATAAATATGCTTTGATATACTCATGGATCAAAAAATAAAATTAAGAAACACTAGGAACTGAACAATAATGAAAATGTCTCCTATTAAATCCTGTATGTGGAGCTAAAGCCATTCTGTGCTTAGAGGCTGAAAATTAATGGGAAAATTATTCAACTTAAGTATAAAAAAAGAATAATAGATTAAATCTAAAGAAAGTTGAAAGAAGGAATAATAAATATATTAAAATTATTTAAAGATATAAAAATAAAAAAGAATCAACAAAGACAAAAGTTCGTTGTGTGTGAAGACTGTTTTTATAGCAGAAGTAAAATATCAATAGTAAATGAATATCAAGACATTAACAAGACTGTTGATGACTGCCCTAGCTGGTTTGGCTCAGTAGATAGTGCGTTGGCCTGCAGACTGAAGGGTCCTGGGTTCGATTCCAGTCAAGGGCACACTGGGCCATGCAGGAGGCAGCCAAT